CCGTTCGTTTCATAACCAATCAAGGTGACATCATCGGTTTATTGTTGCACAGCAAAGCGGAGATCTGTGGTGGTCATAGAGCAGTCGTTGTTGGTCACCTGGTTTGGCATACAACCCAACCTTCAACTGAACAACCTGAACTACCAACATTCCTGTCTATTTATGCTATTGTAAAATCAAGTGGGAAGAAGGCAGGTTCAGTTCACTACCATCTAAACATAATTCACAGGGTGAAATTCCAAATATGAGAGTATAAAGAAGGGAACTATAGGTCATCCGTTTTCAACTTTTTCAATCTCAAAGAAAAAGAGGCCTCCTAACCTCTCTTTGATTCATTATTTTGACAAGGTCGTCAATTGCAGGAAACGCCATCGCCAATTTTTCCCCACGAGTCTATGAAAACTATTGGTGCTTCAAGCAAAAGTGTTTCTGTTTCATCAGCGTTCCTTCCTTCCTTGGCAGCTGCATTTTGTACTTTTTTATGACTAGAAAAAAATCTCCATTTTGCTCTTTGCGATAGAGCATTTGATCTTTATTTAAGAACTGTTAGATATGACTGTGGGAGTGCCGACTATATAGTACGTAATATCAATGCTTGGCGCGCAGATTATTTCATGTTAAGCTACCTGGTGAACAGCGTTTTGCACCTGGGTTTCTTGCATCGAAACCAATATGATCTAGGTTACTCGAATTTGTTGATAATATCGCGTCACCCAGAGGGGGGATACCTGTGTCACATGGAAACGCATCAGAAAATGGTGGTCACAATTTAAATTAGCTTTTCTAGGGACCACAGTGGAAAACGGCTATCACACCCTAGCTCTTCAACTGCACTTGGAACGAATCTTTCCAAGAACAGCGGTGTGTTCTTGACCCACTTTTCATTACTATGTTCACTTTGTACTACAGCGTTATGGCCCCGGTAATTCGTTTCCCGCTAAACCGAACACAAAGCTTTCAGATTGAAGGAGGCCATATAAATGCAGAACGTTCTCAAGCAAGGCCACGCGAGTCATAAAATCGGCCTCATGTTGGCTTTTTCCTGCAATTGGTGCCTTGTCATAAATTTCAAATTTCATGGCTGGTAACCACCGCCAGTAGTTTCATTAATGTCCGGGTTTGTACTGAATAACTGCATTAGACTAGTACCAAACTCTATCCATTAAAATAGTATGCGCGTTTTGCGGCAAACCCACAGGGAAGTAAATAGTATCCATACTGATGCTGATGATCACGATGACGCTAACTCTCTAAGTGATCTCAAATGGTTTCCACATTCCGTAGTTCAATTAATCTATATACCGCAACAGATGACGTAGCTCAGATCGTCACTCTTCAAAAGCAAGTACCCGTTGGTGGATTTACCATATCCAAATTAGAATAAGAAGTTCACCAAACGGAAAATTTAGTTCAAACTCCTAATCGCCTGTCAGTATAAGCAAGCGATATCCCATCGGATAGCATTTGCACCATCGCCTCGTGGCGATTTGTACAAACAAAATTTTCGAACAATGATCTCCTTGTTGGCTGGATCCACTGGAGTGGTAGGAATAGCACCAACCGACCAAATGCTGAATGCAACGGTTTAGTCAGCTCTAGTGAGAAATATTATATGAGCACGTGATGGTCTAAGTATACAGTCAGTCCGTTTGGAAAAGCACAGGAGAGTATTTTCGATGGCTAATGACTGATGCATTGCATTGTGAACCTTCATTAAGAGTGCATACAATCTGTTTGGATGGAGATCAGTACGTAGGACGTTGTTTGATTTCGTTGTGTAACAGATAGGTCCTCAGGTGATCGTCAGACTGTATGGGCAAATAGCGAACATAGGTGGAGGAAAATCGATGAGGTTATCGAGATGTCGTGTTGAATTGCGTAAAGTAATCTGCAGTTGGTTGATTTGTGTAGACCTGAAAAGAAGAAGTTCTCGGCATTAGTTCCCAATCACATATGATCTAAGATGTGAAATTATCCACACCTACGACAAAGGTTGGAAATTTTTCGCATAATATTCTTAACTGGTTGTGGAAAATTCCTCAGATAAATCCACAAACGTTTTCAGTACTATTGGTTGTTGATCAGGTGGCTATTGATCCGTTCGCGAAGCTTGGGGATTGACGTGCAAACGTTTCGTCAACATACAACGAGATATCATCAGTTGGAAGCGTTTGCAAGTCAATTGCCAAGCTCGGTGAACAGATCAACAACCAATAAACTCACCCGAACCACCAATATTTTAAGATGTTCTCACTACTCTCCAGGTAGCGAGAAGTATTCCATAGGTCTTGAAGTTAAGTACAC